TGGGGGCATGTGGGGGGCCTTTCGGGAATATGATGGCCTCTGGGGGTGATTTGGGCCCCTGTCCAACGACTTGTGTCGTGCCAAGCCAGAGTGATTCGCTCTTAAGATGATTTTGCAATGCGTCAAAAGCTGTATTCATCGCCGAAGTGGGGTGTTGTGTTTGAAGTTGGGTTGTTAGTGTTCGAGAACTCCCCCTCGCGTGGCGCCGTTGGAATCGTTATTTATCGTTCCAGGGGGGTGAGTTAGTGTTAGTCAGGTTTTTCATTCTTCACGGCTGCGGAAAGTTGAGCGTTTCGCGATTTATTTTTATTGTTCAAGCCTGCTGCGACCGGGGTCCAGCGTTGCCTTGCCGGGGGTGATCTTCCATCGACGTAATTGCTGGAAGGTAGTCCGGCGATTGTGAACGTGCGCGGCGCAAGGCTATAAACACAGTTTGAGAACAGCCGTCCTCCATCCATGTAAGATTTGGCACAGTGTGACAAATGCGCGCGGGGCTACGGCGAGAGCCACATTTGGAACACGTGCTGCCTTCCTTCGAGTAAGGCTCACGGGTGGTGAGGAATTTCAGGCGGAACGTTTACCCGCACTATTGTCAAGTCTTGTCATGCAGCGTTTTTTTCACGCTCGACTCCGCTTGACCCCCATCAAGTGGGGACCACCTCTCCTCACAGCACAGTCCAGGGAGAGGACAAACACTGTACGTTTTTCTCCCTCTTGATCTGCTGTGGATGTCGGCACTGGTTGAAATAATTCCAGGCCGTAAATCCTGCACCAGCCTTCTTTCTGGCGCATTCTTCACCCAGCCTCTTGACGCGGCCTCCAGTATTGTAAAAACCGCATCGTCGGCAGATACAGAGGAAGGAGCCATCTGAGCAGTCGACCACAGCACACTGGTGGCCGTTCTGCTCCAAGAGGCTCGGACAGAGGCGGGGCAGCATAACACAACGGCCAGGAGCAGGGCGCACATGACCCCTCCTCCTCCCCCGCAGGCACATGCCACACTGCCAGAATTCACCAGTCCAAGCCCACTCGTGAGGCGACAGTGACGCCTGAGTAGCCTTGGGCGGCTTGATGAATTGAACACCAGTTCAATCAAGCCTCGGCCAGCGAGGCAGGATTTTGGCCGCCAGAAGGAGGACGGCCTTGGACACTTGAATGTCGCGCTCCACGTGAGACAAAACATCTGGCGAGGCCTGGGGATGGACTCTAGCACCTTGCTTCGCAGCACGGTCGGCATGAAAGTTGCCAGTTCTGCGCCAAGCCTCCTGCACAGAAATCCCAGCCTCATTCGATTATTTGTGCGCGGCGACTGTAACCAGGCCCTGGAGTTTGGGTCCCGCCCCAGAGAAGGCTTCCAGCACCGAGCCAGCATAGGCCCGATGCCCCCCGAGGCGGTCCCAGGGATCCCTGGAGCAGACCGAGACGACCGACGCGCAGTCGGAAAAAGAGACGCAGGCCCGTCTAAGTTGACACCACCTGCGGCCAACGAGGAAAACTCACCAACCTGGGACGACTGCGGCAAGTGAGCCCACACGGGCCCAACAACTCTGGCCAGCATGTGGCCCTGTTCCGACATCAGAACGAAGGCCCAGCCCGCACTGGACAACTCACGAATTTTGGACTAGAAACAGCTACCGTCCAGGAACATATTGCCTTCGAAACGAACCTGCTCGGGCCCAGGATGCTCCAACCCCGAGTCCAGGAAACCCTACTCTTGTCATGCAGCGAGAAGGAGTTCGTTACACAGAGGAGGGATGCATCGGGCAGAAAGGTCATTCCAGAGCGTTCTGGAGCGTTCTGAGCCGGCCGCGACGCCCGATACATCTTCTTGGCTGTCCAGTTATCAGAGATTTCCATCGTATCCCCATCTGGAGAATTCCTCAAACGCATTGCTTTCATCTGGAGCAGCACCGAAGCTGAGGAGGAGGAGTCCGCGTACGCGTGCGGCGTACACTGTCTCTGGAGAGCGACTGGAACGTCGTAGGCGTGCAGGCCTCGCCGGTAGGCGTGACGACTATATATATATATATATATATATATATGTCACATTTCACATGTTTAGGCATAGCCCATCCTGGATCCCGCCGCAACTGCCACGCTCAAGTCTTTTTCCTGCTGACAGGTCAGCAGGTGATTTCGGGACGCGCACCGGCAGGGGCCTGGTCAAGGCCTCTCGCTCTCCCCTTCTCAGAGGAGCTCCCCGCAGCAGGGGGCCGCTCGATGCCATGGCGAAGCCAGTCGGCGCCTGGTGCTGACGCCGGTGCTTCGTCAGGTGGTGTCGGACATGCTCAGGGCGGCCCCCGCCACGGCGCTGAAGTCCAGGCGGTGCTCGATCAGGAGGGAATGGAGGAGCACCTCACCAGCGACACGGAGGTCGCGGACGACGACGCCGACCTCGAGGAGCTGAGGCACCAGACCAGCCTCCGCGGTCGCGCCGGAGCCACTGTGGCCTTCACAGCCGCGGCGGGCTCCCCGCGGGCCCCAGGCGAGTGGGAGGTCACGCCCGTGCTGCTGCCCGAGGCCAACAGCTGGGGCCAGGTGGAGGGGCCCGGCGCTTACGTCTCAGGCGAGGGCGGCGGCCAGACTCTTGGCGGCCGATCGCCCGGCCTGGCAGGCGGCGTGCCCTCTGGCCCGCGTGGGGCAGCACGCCCTTCGTCGACCGCCGCCCCGGTGCGCAACGACTTGCCGCTGGTGGGCGTCCTGAGCTTCTTAGACACGCCGGTACGACGGCGGTGGTTCGTCGCGACGTTGGACGGCGACGTGAGGGTGTTCCGTGCGCAGATCGCCGGCGCCACGCGCACCCCGAGCTCGGACGTCGTCCTGGGCTTCAAGAGCGAGGTGATGGTCGATGGGCGATCGCTTCGGGACTACGGCATTGTCGGCGAGTCTGAGATCGTCGCTACCCGCAAGATCCGTGGGGGCGGCGATTCGGGCGGAGGTTCAGAGAACGGACAGTCCTTCGGCTGGAGCTGCAGGCGGTGTTTGACTCCCAACAGGTGCGGACTTGAATGTGCGATGTGTGGGACACCCAACCCGAACCTGCCCAGCGGCGACTGCTTGAGCGACGGCCTGAGCGACTCAGATGACGACCTTGGGAGCGCGGTCGGGTGCGGCGACGATCCCAACCCCGACGTCATGGAGCCGCCGGTCGCAGCGGACCTCCAGGGGCCCAGCTTTGCAGCGGTTCTCGACCAGCACGGCGTGCTCTGGGCCGCACCCCTTGGCGAGGTCATCGGCGCCGGGGACGAGGCGGTCACGGCGGCGCCAGACTCGGCCCCAGCTCCGCCTGTCGGCGCTCTCGGCGCCCACGGCGGCGACGCCCTGCCGGCTCCGCTCGGCGAGGACAGCCTCGGTCAGGTCGCGGAAGCCGCGGGCGTCGTGGTCTTCGAGGGGGACCCTGGCCTGGCGCTGAACGGCCACCCGGCACCGCCGCCCAGGCCCCAGCAGCTGATGGTGCACGTGTCACAGCTGATGGAGGACTCCGAGTCGGACTCCGACTGCCACGCGGGCGCCCCTCCCGGCCTGGGAGGTCCGGCGGCGCCGGCCGAGAGCCCGGCGGGCTCCGCGCCCAGCGAGCAGGCGGGGCAGCCGGCTTCGCCTAGCGGCCAGCCCGAGCAGCCCGGCATCCTCGGCGTCAGCCCGGACGCCAGCGTTTCGGTCGCGCAGGAGGTGCAGTCGCCAGAGGAGGAGGAGAGTTTGGCCGGCGCCGGCAGCGGCGCCGGCCGGGCCTCATGATGCCCCCAGGGGTCGTGAGGGGGGCGGCGCTGGCAGCCCAGGCGCCGACAGCAGCTCCTCACGGCCGTCACCAACATGGGCAAGAAGGGCAGCAAGTGCGAGGTGCGCCCGAACGCCAGGTGGAGGCCCGGGGCCCAGCCTTCACTCTTGATAGCCTTGGATGGCAGCAGGGTCCACCCGGCCTCACGAAGGTCGGCGGCGCGAAACATCGTCGTGAGCTTCCTGACGGTCGCCATCGCGACATCTTTCCGCTCCCCATTCCTGAATCTCTTGCTGCTCATCCTGTTTCTGGTCCTCTGTCGCGTGCTGTGCGTCGTCGGGTCCTCCGCGCCGAGCATGATAAGCACCTCGCTCGTGATGCCATCGCGTCTCTCAACAAGACCTACGGCTGCGTCTCCTGCGGTAGTGAGTTTTCGAATGCCGGGCAGAAAGCAGCTGTAGATAATATCATTGCAACTTGCTGTGCGGTGGGGGGTCCGCCTGGGGACTCTGCCGAGCAGCTCTCTTTTTCCAAGGGAGCCCTGTCGGCGCTCCTTGATGGCTCCGCCCTGTACTCATCAGATGGGGGGGCGGTGGCTTCCTTCCAGCGAGACCTAGTCTCTTGGCCCGCCGAGCAGGTCGACCCGGTGCCACTCGAGTCGCTTGCGACTGGGCCTGTTTTGAAACAGCTGGAGGCCTGGCAGCACCAAATGCTTCGCCCGGAGTCGGAGGCACGGGCCCTGCAAAAAGAAGTTTGCCCACGGGGACCTCACATGGACCCCATCCTGAAGAATTCGCCGTGGCGGTATGCTGAGTTTTTGGCCGACATGTCTTCCCGGGGGATGTTGTCCTGGGAGCGCGCCATGGGGCGGCAAGGCAATCTCGGGCTGTTTTTTGTGAAGAAGAAAAGCGGCGCACAGCGCATCATTTTCGATACCAGAGTTGCTAATTGCAGGTTCGTCGACCCCCCGTCGACGCGCCTCCCCTCCCCGTCTGCTTTTGCCTCCCTTGAAACCGAGGGGGGCCCTCTGTATGTGGCGAGCGGAGATCTGGATGTGGCGTTCTATCATATGCAGCTTCCTAGAGGAATGGAACATTTGTTTAGTCTGCCCTGTATAGATTCCTCTTACCTTCAGAAGTTCAACATCCCTGGAGTCCCCGACGGGGCCGGCGTTACTATGTTACCATGCGTGCAGGTGCTACCCATGGGCTTCTCGTGGGCTCTCCACCTATGCCAGAACGTCTTAGAGGGGGCCTTGGACAAAGGGGGCTTCAGGAGGGACGAGCAGGTGCTGGACGGCAGGCCGGGGGTGGTTCTGAGGTATCCTGGGGACACTGCTTCGGCTGCGTATGTGGACAACTTTCTCACCTTGGGGCAGGATCCTGGGGCAGTGGCCAGTCGTCTCTACAATGTCGTCAAGCTGTTGCGGGGGCTGGGCCTGGTCGTGCACGAGCTTGAGGGGGCCAGCAGGGACCGTGAGTTCTTGGGGATGTCGCTTCGAGACGGTCGATATCTCTCGGTCAAGAGTCGAAACGTCTGGAGGCTTCGCTACGCCTTGGACGACTTGCTGGCCCGTCCGAGGGTGAGCGGGCATCTTTTGCGGGTTGTCGCCGGTCACATCACTTGGACGAGCTTGGTCCGCCGCGAGTGTCTGTCTCTGCTGCACGCCACGTACGCCTTCATTCAGGCCGCGGGGTCGTCCCCGCGTCCTCTGTGGTCTGCGGTGCGACAGGAGCTCGAGAGTGTCCGCAACCTGCTGCCCTTGCTGTGCGTTGACCTCCAGGCAGAATGGCATCCCTACGTTGCCTGCACAGATGCGTCTCCGTTCGGTCTTGGGGTTGTTCGCCGCAAGTTGAGCCGGGTCCAGGTCCAGGAGCTAGGCCGTCAGAAGGAGAAGTTCCGATTCAAGACCGAAGGAGGAGCCCAGGCCCGTCACCGGGCCTTGGAGGCTGTGGGGGTGGATGAGGAGACCGCGATGATCCTGGAGCATGAGGAAGGGCCCCTGTGGGCCTGTGACGCCAGACCACCAGACGAAGAGGCCCTGGAGGTGTCGGAGTTCTCGGAGGTGCCCAAACGTCTTCTGCGTCCGGGGTGCTGGAGCTGTGTGTCGGCCACGCATGTCGAGATGGGTCCCAACATACTGTTTCTGGAAGGTGAGGCCCTTGTCATGGGCTTCAAGAACATCCTCAGGAGTTGCAGGGCCCACGGCCGTCGTATCCTGATCCTCTCGGACAACCTTCCTCTGGTATTGGCGGCGGGCAAGGGGCGCGCCAGGTCTGTTCACCTTCGCCAGTGCCTTTATCGTATATGTGCTCTGTCGCTGGCTACGGGCTCGAGACTCGCCGTCCGGTGGGTGCCATCGGAGCTCAACCCAGCCGACCCGGTCTCTAGAGGCGAGGTCGGCTGGTTCTCGGGCGCTCGTGCGTATGAGCCGCCAGGGCCGCTGGGCAACTTCGTGCCCGTGGCTGCTGCGGCTGGCCACAGTCCGATGGATGCTGGTGCCGCCGAGCGCGCCGGAGGCGCAGACTGCCCGAGCGGCTCGCGGGGCTCCGGCGGCCCTTCGCTCGCCGCGCCACCGGGGCTGGGCCTCTGCGGTGGGAGTGGGCGCGCTGCTGGTGGGCTGCTTCCTCCTGCCGCACCGACTGGGCGAGAGCGGCAGCATGGGGTGGCGGCTCTGGGCGACGCTCAGCCTGGTCATGCCCTTCCTTCTCCAGGCCGCGCCCCGGACCCTGCCGCCGATCAAGCGGTCGGGGCTTGCACGGGCACGCCTCGGATGCAGCAGGGGCACGGGGCGCCGCCGTGGCCCCAGCCCCGCCCGGCCGTCAGCGTCGGCGGGGCAGGCGTACCACCAGTGGGCGCTCTTGCCGCAGGACATGACCGGTCAGCTCCCGCTCAAGGCGGCCCTCTGCAGGGAGACGCCGACCCTCGGCCGCGCGGGCCGTATCCGCCCGCGCCCGGAGGCTCCGCCGTCGACCACACCGGCCGAGGCGGCATCGGTGTACCCTGTCAGCGGCGTGTACATGATGTTCTTCGCCCAGCCGACCGAGCAGTGGCCGCCAGGCCGCCGGCAGCCCCAGCAGCCCCCTCTTCACCAACGAGGGGCTGTGCGGGCCATCACCCGCGACCGCTGCTGGGCAAGGCGGATGCCGTGCCATGGCCAGAGCTGCCACTTGAGCCGCGTGAAGCCGCAGGCGAGGAAGTCGAGGCTGCCCACCGCCCTGCACTGGCCGCCGGCCGTCACTCTCTCGTCCGACTCGCCTGTCGGAGCGAGATTCGCGATGGAGAGCGAGGGCGACCTCGACGGCCGGCCGCATCCGCTGCGCTCCCAGCCGCCCGCCGCCCTGGCCGGCCTGTCCGGCGACCTGCCCAGCCTGGCGGTGGCGGGCAGCTGCGGCCGCAGGCGGCGGCGAGGCCGGCCGCGGCAGTGGGGTCCGTGCGGGCCCACATGCTGGCTGCCTTCCGCAAGGCCGTCGGCGAGGGGCGGCTGCACAGGCGCTTCGTTTTCGTCGAGCTGTTCTGTGGCGCGGGCTGCATCACGGCGTCGTTGAAGGCGGATGGCTTCTCCGCAATCGGCTTCGACATCGGGCGGGGCGCTCATGAGAATCACTTGGTGCATGAGTTTTTTGAGGTGCTTCAAGGGTGGATCACTTCAGGCTGCATAGCCGGCATCTGGCTTGGTACGCCTTGTACGACCTGGAGTCAGGCCCTTCGCCGACCTCTGCGCTCACGGCGACATCCCATGGGGTTGCCAGGGCTCTCGGTCGGCGAGCAAGCGAGGCTGGAGGTGGGCAATTTGACCTTCAAGTTTAGCTGTAAGGTCATCCGCTTAGCCGTGAAGTGGAACATCGCCGTGTATCTTGAGAATCCAGCGGGCTCGTTGATGTGGCACGCTCCCGAGCTGGCCCGGCTTTTGCATGCGCCGTGCGCTCAGAAGATCCAGTTGCACATGTGCCAGTTCGGGGCGCCGTGGCGGAAGGCGACTTGCGTCGCCGCCTGGAACTCGTTGCCTTTGTTGAAACTCAGTCTCCGATGTTCTGGTCGCTCTGGCATGTGCTCTAAGTCGCACAAACCGCATGTGATACTGTCTGGACACGCCCCCCACGGTCCTCACTTCACTCGTCTGGCAGCTGAATATCCCAAGGGATTCGCACAGAAGTTCAGCCGGGTTATGGAGAGGTCTTTTGAGGATAAGCGTGCTCGGAAGTTTTCTGCCACGCTCAAGTCTTCCCGCCCTCCCTCCCCTCTCGCGTGCCTTTGTGGGTGTGTGTCTGTGCCGTGCCTCTCTCGCCTCTCTCTTCTCCTTTTCAATGCTCAGCAAACTGTAATGCAATCTCTTTATGCAGGGTGTGTGCTCTCGGCTTGGCGTTCCTCGGCATCGACGTATCGAAGTCACTGGCCTGGTCAGCCCCTCACACAAAAATGAGCCTGGCGGGAGGGAACGGTTAGGCGAGCTATATATATATATATATATATATATATATATATATATATATATATATATCAAATATGCATAAATCTCAACTTTCGGAGGTCCGCGCTCATTTCTTGGGTCGGCTGCGATCCTACAAAACCGCGCGGTGGGCAGATTTGGTTTTCTTCTCGCGAAATCATTGTCCTGGAGTGCTGGTGTTGTGGTCGGCGAGGCAGTACCCGCTGTTCGGGTCGACCGAGCGATTGGCATCGAGCGCACCGAGAGCATCAAACTTCATGGATTGCTTCAATATGCGCAGCGTACCTTGCACGATCTGATCGACTCGCCTCAGTTGCCTCCCCTCCGCCCCTCCTCCTGCGACTGCCGGGGTTCACGCGCTCGCGTGCTTGGCGCTGTGGTACGCGCTGCCCGGGGGATCCCAGCCCATCCTCGGGGCAGTCTTCTTCTTATAGCTGCCCTGTTTTCCCTTTCCTCCTCCTCCTCCTCGTCTCCTTCTCGTCCTCTGCCTCCTCCTTCCCCTCCTCCTGCGAGCGCCAGGGTTTACTCGCTCGCGCGCGTGGCGCTGTGATACGCGCTACCCTGTGGTTCTCAGCCCATCGTCGGAGCAGTCGAATGTTTACAGCTGCCTAGTTTTCCCTTCCTCCTCTTCCTCGTCCTTCCTCCTCCAACTTCCTCGCCCCCCCTCGTAGCAGGCTGTCCTGGTCTGTCGTGCTTCCGCCGCCCATGGCTCCGCGAAAGAGGCCAGAAGCGGCAATGCTTCACCGTTTGTGGCCCCCTGTAATCCAGCCTGGGTCAGGGGCCGCGGCTCGCAGGTCTGGAATTGTATAGAAGTGCTTGAGGACTCTTCAAGCATCGACTCGCGCTGATGCATCAAGTCGTTGCTCACATCTGCCAGCGCCATGCCTGGATGTCTGGCCTCTCGGCCGAATCTTTGTAACCGGAAGAAGCTTTTAAGAACCCCCCCCCCCTTCCGGCGTAACGATAACCCTTCCGCACCCTGGAAGCGTTATCCCGGCACCAGGAGGGGGGGACACCAGATCCCACGGGTCCCATGGAGTCCCGCAGGTCTCGCAGGTCCCACAGGTTTCAAAAGGGGTTCCCATGTGAGGTCCCGCAGGTCCAACGGATCTCGCAGGGGGTGGGGTTCTTAATCGCTTCTCACGGTTAGCACACACACACACACACACACGCACGCACGCACGCACGCACGCACGCACACACACACACACACATACACACACATACACACACGAACACACACACACACGCACACACACACACGCACACCCACACACGCACACACACGCACACACTCACACACACTCGCACACACACACACACACACTCAGACACACTCACACACACGCACACACACACGCGCACACACACACGCACACACATCGGCTGCCACACATGCAGCAATGCTGCCATGGAGTACCTCGAGAAACATGCAGCAATGCTGCCATGGAGCACCTCGAGATGAGAGAAGACCAACAACTTCGCTGAAGGAGCTTTGGATGCACTGGTTGCCCAGTCAGCCAGTGCTCCAGCAAGCAGCCACTCTTCCCCTCACGAGTCCGTGCCTTTCGAGGCCGAGATCCTGGCAGGCATGAAGTGAACAGTTTGGGCGCAAGGGGCGAAAGGAGGATGGGGGCAAGGGACAATGACGGCTTTCTTGCGAGGCCGAACATGGCTCTTCGGGGGCTTCTTGGGGGACATCTGGGGCCTTAGTGGCCGACTTCGGTGCGTCTTGAGGCCCCTTGAGGGCCGCTTGGGAGTCTTGGGGCTCTGTGGGAGGGGCTGGCTTCAAGCGGTGCAACGTGGCGCGCGTTTGGGTTGCCTCTCGGGCCCCTTTGAGGGGCCTCTCGGGCCATCTTGGACTTGTATTGGTATCTTCTTGTATTGGTATCTTATTGGTATCTTCTTGCCCCTCCTCCTCCTCCTCCTCCTTTTCCTGCTCCTACGACCGGAGGCCCGGCGTCTGAAGGCGTCTCTCGGCTGTTCGGCAGAGCAGGGTGCGGCGATCCCGAGGGGCCCGGGGGCACGGAAGCTGCCGCCTGCTGCCCCCCCCCTTGTCTCCCCCAGACGTGCTGCACGCTCTCGTCGGCGTGCATTTGGCGCGTCGGGTCGGCTTTTGGCCGATCGTGGTGGACTGATCGGAACGAAGCAGGGTACACCCTGCTGGGCCCGTTGCGACTCATGTGGCGATAATTGTGCGACCGCAGAAATCCTCACATATTCTTCCGATTAGGGCATCTTGGGCTGGCCCAGAGGGCCGCAAAGGCGGCCCGCTGGACTTCCAAGAGTGCCGCAACTGGCCGAGGTCTGGCCCCGCCCTGGTGGACCCAGGTGGCCCACAGATGGCCAAACTGGCCCCAACATCGCCCGAGCCACTCAATGGAGGCGGGTTGGTGCCCCCTCCCACCCCTCGGGATCCCGCCGCGACCCCTCCCTCCCCCGCCGTCTCCCGCGGGACCCTCTTCGGCGGGGAACGGATCAAAGGGAGGGGGCTTCCCTTCGACTCGACTGGCGAGCTGCAAGTGCCCCAGCTGGCCGCAGGCACGGCCACCCCGGGACTCCCGCCTCGCACACGCCGACAGGATCGGCGGCTTGGGGCACGGTCGCGCGCCCTGCCTTCAGGGCGCGTCAGCTGACCACCTCGCCGATCCTGGCCGGGCCGAGCCCCAGCGGCCAGGCTTAGCCGAGGGGTGGGGCCAAGGTGCGCATCAAGTTTGGTTCATTCTGGGAGCGTTGTTGGGTTTTTGCACATAAGGTCATGCGTGAGCTGTCGAATCCATGCGTGAACCACATCGCCCTCCATAATCAGGTAGGAGTATCTTCCCCGCCTGGAGATGGGGATACGGCCTGAGTTCGGCGGCGAGACTAGGGGGCAAGTGAGAAGTCGCAGGCCTTCCCAGAAGGCTACGGGGCTTCTCAGAAGTCCTCTGGCCTTCTGAGAAGTCGTCTGTGTATTCGGGGAAGGTTTTGAAAACTTCTCCGAAGGCCAGAGGCCTTCAAACCTTCTGAGAAGGCCTGCTCCGTCTGATTTCCGCCCCGCCCTGGCTTGCCGCCAATCACTTGCTCAGCAAAGCGGAGCAAACCCAAAGGGCCAGTTAGTTCTTGGTTAGCCGACTGCGTCGAGTCGCTCGTTCTCGTGCTCCTGCTTTCCCTGGTGCTACCAGGAGGGCGTACATGCCGCTCCCGAGCCCAGGATGGGCCCGCTCGGGAATCCCACGAGGTTTCCCCCCGTCCCTCGGAGCAGACGGGGCCGGTGGACTCGAGGAATGACGACGACGAAGATGGCGGCGGAGCCCGCGGCAGCAGCAGCACTGCGATCGGGAGCGGCGGGCGCGGCAGGAGGAGGGCCCTCCTCATCACGCCCTCTCCGCCCCCGTCCGCCCCTCCGCAAGAGCCTCGGCCGGTGTGCCCGCCCGCTGCCTCCGCCCGCGGCCCAGACTCTCCCTCGGGGGTCGGTCGACGACGAGGATGACGACGACGACGACCACGGACGACGACGACCACGGACGACGACGACTGACCGACCGACTGACCGACCGACCGACCGACGACCCACGACCGACGGTGGAGGAGCACGAGATGCTCATCCCCGTCCTGATGACGTTCTTTAAGTTTGAGCCCGAGGCCACGAAGGCTCGCGAGACGCCTGACCCCTCTCTCGGGAGCGTAACCACGACTCACGCGCAGGTGAATTCTCACGGGCTTCCAGAGAGCGCCTTGCGCGAATCGAACTGGGGGGCATGTCCATGTACGTTGCTGGGCGCAGATGTCCTTGTGGGGGTCCGTACCTCCGCAGCAGCGTGTCGTAACGTTTGCACTCTCGCACAGTAACAGCACGTCGTACTGTTGGCCCTCGCACACCCCTCGAGCAAGGCACTGCGCGTGATCGGCCGCGGCCACGGTAGGAACACGGGGTACGAGCCAGAGATGTCCCTCACACGGCAGCTCGACCCAACAGGGGCCATTTCGATCCGATCGATCCGATTCGATATCGATTTCGGTTGGGCCGATCCGATTCGACTCAGACGATGTGGCCCGATGCTAGCATAGCGCTGTTGTGTATCCTGCCGCGACCGATTGGATTCGATTCCGACTCCGTGCCATGCAGCCCGATTCGATGCATGTTCCGATCCAAATCCGATTTCGCGGTTCGATGCTGGCTGCTCCTGGCCCCTCCAAAGTTGCTTGGCTCACTCCCCATTGCTTCCAACTGGCTCGCTCCCAGACAGGCGTAGGATGAAGATCAATCGCTCCAGAGAGCTCCGGCACGCTTGCAGAGCTCTCTGGAGCGCTTTGAAACGGCCGCTGCGCCAGATGCAGTTGGGCCACCCGCGGGGGCGCGAAGATGATCGCGCTTCTTGCGCCTCGGTCTGGGCGACAGCGGCTGCGCTTCTCCCAGGGGAGGCGCGAGGGCGCGAAGATAAGGGCGCATCGCCATGCGAGGTGTGCGAAATTGGGTGAACCAGGATACATCCCCCTGGCCCTTCAACTCTCGGAGATTCCTGATTAGTCTTCATCTGAATGTGTTCTCGCCTTGCATTCGTCCCGGGAGGAAGATGAGTTCGGCGGTCTGGGTGTTCTTCGAATGGCGTTCGGAAGCGCCTTCTCAGCCGTAGGAGCTCCTTCCCGCAGTTCGGTCGTTCCCTGCATCTCTCCGCCTCCACCCCTGCTTTCCTTCCGCTCCTCCCTGGCTTTCGGCATGGATTTCTCCCCTCCCGAGTCTGTCCCCACTCATCCTGCATTCGCCTTGTGCTCGGGCAGTTCTGCACCTGGGCTCTCTGCGCGGGAGCCTCCTCATGAGGCTCCCTTGGAGATCTCGCGGAGCCGGCGGGCGAGTAGGGCGGGGAGCCCTCGGCCTCCGGGAGTGCCGGCGGCGTTGGGGCCGAAGAACTGCCCCAGTTGTCCCTTACCTGGTGCCACTCGGGGGCGGCCACGAGGTGGGTGATGACCACAAGAGCCGTCAAACATGAACTGACGGTTTCTGTTTTCGGTGTTGGTGTGTTCGGCGCTGCCCCATTGCTGGAATGAGCCTTTGCCCAGGCGCAGGTGCCGCAGGGGTGTCCGAAACACAGCACCCCCCTCACAGCATTGAAGAACGCACTTTTTGACCAGTGTTCGAACTATCCAGCGCCACGATTTTTAACGACGACGACGGCGGCGGCGGCGGCGGCCACGACCTCGACGACGCTGACGCTCTGGAGCCCTTCTTGGGGCTCTTTTGGGAGCCTCTTGGGCTCACTGTTGGGGCCGGGGCCACGGCCTGGGCCAGGGCCAGGACTGGTGGGGCCCGGGCCGGGGCCAGCGCCAGCGCCAGGGCTGAGGGCGAAGCGGGGGGGGGGGTCCTGCGCTCCCTCGATGACACTGAGACCACTCCCCTGCCCCCCTTCTCCACAGGGGGGACCACCAGGGGCGGGGGGGGGATCACGATCAAAGGGCAGGGCTTCCCTTCCAATCAGTTGCGATTGTTTGATATCCGTTTCACTGGATCGTTCGCTTAAGGAGGAGGGCCCAGGGAAAGGGGGGGATCAGGACGACGACGACGACGACTCAGAGGGAAGAACAGTGTCTCACACACGCCGACGGGTCGGCGGATTTCCGACGAGGTTTGTAGGGGGGTGAATACGGCCGCGGCCATGACATCGCCCCAGGGTTCATGGTTCCCCTGTTTTTCCAACACGTCCCTTGGCCCCCCTGGGCCGCGCACGCGCCTCGGGCCACGATTTGTGAGCTCCCCTCTTCGACGCCCCCCCTGTTGGACGCCCCATTCGGTGCCAGAAACTTCCGCGCAAGTCGCCACGACACGATCCCGTCGTAGATGCCCGATGGCATCGCCGATGTATCGGCGATGCCGCAATCCGGAACCTGGTCTTCCCATCCGGCCGTCGCCGATGCATCACCGATGCACTGGCGATGCGGTGCAATCCCCCGACCGAATCTAACTCCTCTGGCCCCATCTGGGAGGCCTCTTGCACAGGTGCCCTGCGCGTGCAGTCAAGGCGCCGAAAGAATGACCAATCCGAGCTCAGGCGGGGCTCGGATCTTCGGGCCGCTCGTCGGGGAACCCCTCCGTGGCCGAGGCTCGCCGTGACCAGACAAGGCCCCTTCGTTCCCTATGCAGTGTCCCTTAAGATGGTACGAGGACCGTGCCGATACCGCTGCTCCCCTGGCCCCTCCCCGCGTGCGTTCTGACCACGATTTCGGGGCGAGGTGAGCCGTGGCGACGAGGGTCTCTCCTGGGAGGCCCGGGAAGGCGAAAACGGAGCAAAAAGGTGGCCAGAGCGACGCCGCTCCCCCAGAGCGCTCCGCCCGGAGGCCATCCAGACGAGGCGCTCGCAGTCCACGGGCGGTTTCTTCGGCCGTTGGAGCGGCTGAGCTACGCGGCGGGAGGGGGCCCGGCGCCACCGCGGCTCGCCTCGATCGCGCGGCGGTCGGCCGCGCGCTGTGGTGGCTGGCCGGCGCCCCCCTCGAAAAGCAGCGCGGCTCCCCTCGCCCTCGCCCTCGCCCTCCTCTCGCTCTGCCTCCTCGGGGCTCACTGCGACTCCTCCGGTTCGATTCGATTCGATCTCGATCGCATCCGATTCCGAGTCGATTCGAATTCGGGTTCCAATTCAATTTTCGGCTTCTCCATCAATGAAGTCCTTGATAGCGTGCCGGTTTTCGCCGATCCGATTTTTCCCAATTTGGTTGCCGATTTCCGCCGATCCAATTCACATCGAACGCCGATCCGACTTGTCGATTCGATTCTTGGCTCCCCTGTCTTCCCTCCCTCAAGGGCTCATGTTCCTCGCCCAGCTTCCACAGACAGTGCTTACATTTAGGGGTTCTTACTTCGGTTGCCCAGGAATCGGATGGGTCCGCTCATGTTGCCGCCTCGTTGCCGCCCACTGTGCTTGGGGGGTCCGTCGAGGTTTCATATAGAACCCGGAGGGTAGGCCTACCTTAGGCCTACCCCTAGGCCTACCCCCTAGGCCTACCCTAGGCCTACCTCTAGGCCTACCCCCTAGGCCTATCCTGGGTCCACCCCTACGCCTACTCCCTAGGCCTACCTTAGGCCTACCCTGTAGGTCTTCCCCTAGGCTTCCCCCTCTGGGCCTCTGTCAAATTTGTGACGATCTTAGCAGTGCTCAGTACAGTGGCAACACAATGAGCTCTTTCGCCACTACGTGGCTGAGGGCTCCGAGTGCAGCCGGCACTCCAACCGCGCGACATAAGGAAATGCCAATGCGCTAACGAGGAGGGGCATGCCGGGGACAGATACCCACGACGGCTCCGAGGATCACTGCCAGAACATCGCTTGTGGCGGGTGCCAGGGCTGTCGGGCCTCCTCGACACCTGGAGGGGGGCCCACTCTGGATGGAAGGCCATCCGAGTGGGAATGTCCGCTGCCATCAGCTACGTCGCCTGCGTGGACGCGCCCGGCGGCGGCAGCGGCAACCTGCGGCGCCTCCGCACCTCGGGGGCCCAGCAGCAGGCCCGCGTACCTTTCCAACGCTAGGTGCGGGAGTTAGCGAGATCTGGTCAGCGGCTCGCCAAGCGGCCTACGTCTCGTCTCGCTCGACCGGCATGGCTCGCGGGTGCGCGGGCGAATCGCCGCCGTCTGTCTTCGTCCAAGGCGTTCACATCAACGGCAACCCAGTGCCGATTATGAGCGACCTCGCGCGCGGCATGGCCGAACGCGGGGGCCAGTTCGGATGGGGGGGCGCGCCCAGGCGGCATCGGCCCTGATCAAATTCAGCCGAGTGCCGAAGGAACGCGCCGACCACCCCCTCGCCAGGTCCGACATCGACCGCAACGGGGCGCGGCAGGCCTGTCAATGCACGATCGGCGACGAGCGCCCGCGCAACCTCTTGCCGCGCGCGGCGGGCGCGTCGAACATCCAGCCCGCCATGGCCCTGCAGCGCTGTGACGTGGCCTGCCCTGCCGACGCGCCGCAGCTGGCGCGCGCGACGGGCCAGTTATGCCGATTCGGACATGAGATCGAACGCTCGCTGGGCCATCTCGCTTCGGCCGCGCGCTCGCCCCAGCGCCGAGCGTTTCTCGCGCGGGCGCGCCCGCGCGCGATCAGGATCAGACTGCTTGCGTCGCCGGGGCCGGATCGAGCTGGAATGGCGCGGGCCTTCCAGTCCCGCGAGCAGCGCTGAGTCCACCTCCAGCACCACCGGCCCCCAAGGCCGACGCATCAGCAGAGCCGCAGGCGGCATATGCAGCAGCGGGATTCGATTCATTCAGCGACTTCGACACCATCAGCTCACTCGCCGAAGAAATCGCTACCGAGGGCCCCGAACGGCGCGAACTTCTCGCGGGGCAGCGCGGCGCGCGTCTCTCGTGGCTCACGAGCGCGCCACGTCTCGATGGCGCCGCAACGCAAACAGCGAGCCCGCGCGTCGAGCGAGGGGTCGCATCGAGCGCTAGGGCAAAGGGCATGGAAAAGACTGCCGCGCCGTCCTGGCCAACTTGTCCAACAACGACCTCCGCGAAACCCCCCTGAGCTTCTGGGCGGGCAGGGGCGAGGGAAAGGGCGGGCGCATGACCGGTGGATTGGGATTTGGCCGGCAGGGCAACCCGCCGGGCCCTGGCGGGGCGCGTCTCAAGCGCCGCGAGTGCGACGCAGCGGAGGACCTCGCGCGCGATTGCCCCCGTCGGCGCCGGCACGCGCGCGCCCCCCTCTTTCGCGCCCCAGCCTCAGCAGCGCCACCGCCGCCTGCGCCAGCATCCCGCCACCCGCGCATCTGAGCCGCATCTGGGGTCCCGCGGAGCACCTGGACCAGCCTCCACGCGCGGCACTGGGTGCTAATTCGGTTTGGATGGCCAGGGGGGACCGCGGGGGGCCCGAACCCGCGGTTCTGGGATCCGACGCAGGTGGCCCCGCGAGGAGCGCCGATCTTCGGAACGGCGGCCAACCGACTCCAGCTTCGGCAACTATTCGGCCAGCGCAAGCACCATCATCGACAGCAGCAGCCCCTGGCGTTGCGTCCGACGGCTCCTGGCAGGCAGTCGGCCAGAGCCATCGGTCGAGCTCGGCGGGTAAGTCATCATTTTCGTCGGATTCGCCTAACCTTCATGAGGCCGAAGTTCGGCGATTGCGCCAGGATATGGACGACCTCGTGGGCCGCGTGCACCAGGGCTCTGCTCGACCAAGAGATTGGACAACGATGTGCCAGTGCGCGCGACAGGATCGGGGAATTCGGCACTTCCTGCGCCCGCAGCTCCAGCAGCATCAGCATCGACGCCGGCACTGACGCCACAGCGCTGGGCCAGAGCGGCCGGCGCTTTCCCGATGGGGCCGCGGGGGGGCGCGACTGGCCAGGCGTCATCAGTTCCCGCGTCGCGGTGCCCGCTGCCCCTCTTCGCCGACGCGCAGTTGTCGAGCTGTGCCCACATGCTATCAATCTCAGCCCTCGGTGCCAGCGCGCCATGAGGGTCGAGCTCCGCGCGGCCGCCGCAGTCCGCGCTGGCAGCCGCCTCACCGCCGATACCGGAGTTGCGCAATGAACTTGCGCTCTTCAACCAGCACGTTCCCCCTGGCGCGGGCCAGCCGTCTGGGAATATGGCCACGCAGTTCGCTGGCCGCGACAGTTGGATGCCACGCGGCGCGAGATCCGAACGCAGAGCAGGTTCCATTCTCGACCGCGCCCAACGACGACGCCTCGACGATCTCCACATCACTCAGCTTGCACATGAGCTCCTACGACAACAGTACAAGCAGCGACGACGAGCCGCGCGGATTTGGACGGACACCCCCATCCATCCTTCTTGCGCCGGCTGCCGCACCAGCTGCGCCCCGCGCCACGGTCTTCAACGGTGGCGATCTGGAAGGTCCTATCTGGCTCGAGGCCGCCGCGCGTGGCGATCGAGTCGCGCGCCTACAGTGCCGCCGCATCTTGCGCGAGGCATGCCGCCGGCAGCTTTTGCAGAACACGACGACCAGATGGTGCACTGCCTGGCGTGCCGAGGCCTGCCTGGCGCCATCGCCTGCCCCCCGCTTCATTGGTGCCGATTGCGCTGCAGCTGGCCCTGCAACTGCGTTGCCGGTTCGCCCGGCAGACCCTGGCACTCAAGGGCCAGCACCTGCGGCGCCGGCCCAGTCTATGCCAGACGACAGCGTGCCCGAGAGACGCCGCCACAGCGGGGGACCGCCCAAACCGCGCGGCCCGCGCCGACGCCTGGGACGCCGCGGCAGGATCTCACGCGGCCCACTGGCAGCGCTTCCAGCATTGCGTCCGCTGTCGGCGTGGCCGCACTGCGCGGCGCCCACTTGGACCTGCAAGCCTCGCCGCATCGACAGACGTTTCCGCCGCCGCCAGCCTCTGCAAGCACAGTGCCGAGATCATCGACTGACTCACCATGCATGCTGTTTAACCAGCCTCCCGCGCGGTCGGCCCGACGCCGTCGTGGATGGCGGCGCTTGGGCCCTCCCTGGGGGGCCGCGCTTCGCGACGAACCTGGCCGACGCAGCCGCGGCGGCGAGGCTCCAGCCCGCAGAGGAGAGGCTGACGTCTTCATTTTACGCAGCAGGAGTGGGCAGCGGCTCACAGGTTGCCCATTGGGAGGTGCTCTGTCCCACGGCGGCTGCCGCCCGCGACGGCGCGACCACCCAGCGCGGCATGCGCGCCCCTGCAGTGGGGGGAGAGCGATGGCCCCGATCTTTTGGCCCTTTGCGGTTTGCAATCCATTCGGTCCAACGACGGTGCGGCGGAGACAGGCGGCCGCGAAATCAATTGGAGCCCTGGCGCAATATTCTTCGACTTAGATTTGGCTCCAAGTGGCCAGCTACGCGTGCCAGTCGACATCTTCGGCCAACTCAAACCGCCGACCCGGGGCCGACAACCGCCAGGACGACGGCGCCAACAACGCCAGCGAGTTGAATATGGTCAAAACACAGCTTCTCAGCCCCAATGCACAAGCTCCAGCGCGGGGCGCACCTCACGCAGCTGGTTACGACCTATTCGCCTGCGCGGACGTGAGCGTCGCGACCTGTGGTCGCGAGCTGGCGTCTACGGGCGGGGCCGCGCACCGCCGGGCACTTGCCTGCGGATAGCCCCGCGCTCAGGACTGGCCTGACGGCGCGGGGGTTCAAGGGCGTCGACGTAGCGGGTGGAGTTGGCCCCGACTACCGCGGCGAGATCAGGGTTATCATGCACAGCGCCAGCCCGAGGGCGCGCGCGTTCGAGCAGGGTCAGATGATCGCCCCATTCATCTCGGAGAGGATCATCACGGACTCCGAGATCGTGGTCGTCACCAACCGCCCACTATCTTCTTGCGGTTCTGGCGGTCGGGGGGCTTCGGTCACATTGGCGCGACGTGCCTCAGCTACGACCCCGTCCCGTAGGACTCGGGCATTGCAGCGCCAGCAGGGTTTGATGGCAATTCCG